ATTATAGTAGCGAGGGGGCGAGTGGCGGGTCGGTTGGCGCGGACGAGCGAAGAGTGGTGAACGTACCGTCATTTGCGGCAGTTTGGGTGGCAGAGCCAAATGGCAAATGGCATGGCTGGTGTCGATTGGTTTGTGGCCAGGTGACCAGCCACCCGACACTCGGCACCCGGCAGAGAGGTCACTCTCACCCTCTCCAACACTCTCACCACCACCCCTCCCCCCCCCCCCCTCCCCTCCACCTTCCGCCGCTGCCACCGCAACCCACCCACCCATCCACATCCATACCGCCCATCACACACAAACACACACACACACAGTACAGGCCATGGCACTGCTTCCTGGACCAGCCACTGGGGCGTACTCGGGCCTGGTCCTCCAGGTAGACTCGCAGTGCTCGCCAGAGACCTCGACCCACCTTGTTACACAGCAAGACATGTCGGCAGAGCTGACGTCCTCCTGCCCATGCTCGCCGCTCTCGCCGCTCTCGCCGCTCTCGCCGCTCTCGCCGCCCTCCAGTGCCAACCTCCCTCCACCTGCCGCTGCGAGCCAGCCCCCCCCCACCCAAACCCAGACCAACGCTGAGCCAAGGAGCTCGGCAAGCCATGACGACTCGTCCGACACCGGATCGATCACCTCGTCAGCACTCTCGCCACGGTCTGCCTCGGACCACGTCGATGATGAGCCGGCATCACCGTCGCCGCTCTCGACGACTTCCAGCGCATCGTCCGACTCGGCATCGTCGATCTCGTCGAGTACACAGCGCAAGACGCTGTCGTCGTCGTCGTCGTCCACCTCGTCGGCAGCGAGCGCCGAGGCCTACGAGGGTGCCGTTCTGCTACAGGCGCGGGTCGTTGAAGCGCCGGACGGTCTCGAGATCGGAATGCGGGCATCGGTGCTCCCGCCGGTGACCAGCGCGGCGACGGCCACACCTGCACCTCCGATCCGGTACTACGTCTTTTCGTCGCTCCTGCCCTGCGCCACGCCGCCGAGTGCGCCGCTCCTACTTCCGCTTCCACTGCCGCGCGAGCTCGACGTCGAAATTATGGTCGGCGCAGAGCCTGCGTCGGTCACGGCCGTCCCCCTGGCTCCGGCCGAGGAGCCCGAGGAGAGCTCGCCGCCGTTTGCTGGCGCCATGCACTGGCTGGTCATTGGCGGGCCCATCCGAATTGTGGTTGCGCTCGCAATGACTACGCTCCCGCTCGGGATGACCGGCGTCGACACCGAGATGATGCCGCATCTCTCCCACGTCGGGCTCGATGCCACGCCAGTCACCGCGCTCGCAGCCGAGTTTTCGCGAACGCTCCCGCTCGGCCCGCCGCCGTATGTGCTGGAGCGAAGCGTGCCGTCAGTGCCGCTGACGCCGGTACTTCGGCAGACCTCGCCCATCATCGAGCCATCTTCCGACTTTTACCTCCTCTCGTCGCTCTCGTCCGAGCTTGCACATTCGAGCTCGGTGACGGCACAGGACGTGATCCGGACCTGTGCGTCAGCGTACATTGAGTCGCCAGACGACGAAACAATGTGGTATGCGCGGTACTTTGCGCATCTCGCACACGACGCGTTTGTCGGCTCGGAAGCGACGCTCTCGTCGGCGGCGTCCGAATCGCCGTTTGTCATCACTGTCCTCGGCCTCGAGTACGACGCTTGCCCACCGCCGGCCTCACCGATAGCGAGTGGCGGCGGCGGCTCTGCCCTCTCTTCCGGCATCGAAGCCGAGTACTATGTCATTGTGTGGCGAGTGAGCTCCATCTCTTACCATGCCGTGAGTGTGAGCGTCGGCGACGCCCCGCCGACAGTCTTTGACCTGCTCGACGCCATCCCCGCCGACGCGCGACCGGTCATCAAGCGCAAGACCCGGTCGCTGACACGAGTTACACCCGATGCATCCTTCCGCGCTACACTCACCAAGCTCGAGGCGTTCTCGGGCACGCTCGGCGGCATCAAGCTTGGGCTGCTGTATGCGCAGGCCGGCCAGACCAACGAGGATGAGTACTACTCCAATCGCGAGCCGTCGGCCGCCTTTGAGGCCTTTCTCAACCTTCTCGGCCCGCGGGTCCGGCTCAAAGGCTATCCGGGCTTTTCGGCGCAGCTAGACACGCGGCACGACGACTCGGGCGAGTACACCCGGGTCCGGCGGTACATGGGCCACGACGTGGTCTTCCACGTCTCGACCGAGCTGCAGTACGACGAGACCGACGACCAACGGATTCAGCGCAAGCGGTTCATTGGCAACGACATCGTCGTCATCGTCTTTCTCGAGGGCGACGCGCCGTTTCGGCTGGCGTCGTACACCTCGCAGTACACCAACGTGGTCCTGGTCGTCCGCGCCTCAGATGCACACCCGGACCACTACGCGCTGTCGGTGGCGGTCAAAAAGGGCGTGCGTGCCTTTGGCCCGCCCTCGCCGCACCTGATTCCGCGTAACGAGTACTTTGCCCACCACCTCCTTGCGCTCGCCATCAACGGCGAGAAGGCTGTCTACGCCTCGACCGAGTTTGAACTCCGCGCGTCGCGGACGCGGTCGCAGTATCTCCACTCGCTCGTCCACGACGAGCCGCCGCCATCGCCGTCGGCGGGCAACGTGCTCGCTGCTAGCGAGCCGGGCGCGCTGGCCGCCACCCGCCACGTTGCTGAGGCGCTGCTGGTCGGCCGTGTGGTGACGCCGCGGGTCCTCGCCACCCGTATCCGCCTCAACGACGTGCCAGCCGACGTCGCCACCGTTGTCTCGCTGCCGGGCTCGGACGCGTGCGTCTTTGCCACCGCCGCTGCTCTCTTCTTCAACTCGGGCCAGGACTCGGCGTGCCTCCGGCTTGCACCGCTCCCGCGCATTGACCTGCTACTTGTCCTGGTGCCGCCGGCCTCGCCCAACTCGGTCATTCTCATCGCCGGTCGCGGCAAGACCGCGCTGTATGGCATGCAGCTCGGAATCTCGCCGCCGCGTGCAGTTGGCGTCTTTGCCTTTCCGCTCTCAGCCAAAGTGGTGGCAGTGGCGGCGACCGAGGACTTTCTTGCCGTTGCCGACGCCCGCGGCTCGCTCGGCATCTTCTCCGCCATTCAGCTGGCGTCACTGCTCGAAGCAACGTCTGCACAGGCGCCGTCGTACACCGGCGGCGTCTTTACGCCGCCGCTCGCGCATGCGCTTGTGCCACTCGCGCGGATGGTGCTCCCGCAACCACCATCGGCGCTGGCGCTGGCATCGGCGTCCGACACCGAGCCAGTCGTCTTTGCGCTCGTGAGCGGCGAGCTCGTCCGAGTCACTGCACTCCTCCCTGTCGGCTCCCTCCCGCGCCTCGACACTTACCGGGCCGCGCGGAGCAAGCGCGCCGGGGCATCCGTCGGCAAGCTGACGCACATCCTGGCGCTGGGTGCCAAGGGATGCGTGCTGGGTGGATCACTCGGGGCGCTGGTCATCGAGTGGGCCCTGTCACGAGGTGCCAAGCCGCGGCTCCGACTGGCGGTGCCGTGGCGACGATCGCCGATGGAAGCCTTGCACGTGCTTGCGGCGCCGTTCTCGGCCAAAGCCACTGCGTTTTTGCTCGCGCACTTTGCCACTGGGGTAGAGATGTATGCGCTGGCGTCGGGCGTCCTCGTCGACTCGCTGACATACACGAGCCCGTGCACGACACGGCCGTTGCGACAGCAGCTCTCGCACTGCGCGCCGCTGGCGATGCGGGCGGCCGAGTCGGCAGCAGCCGCGCCGTCCCTCATTACGCTCCACTTGACCCACGCGGTCCATCCATCAGAGCTGTACGGGGCCGAGCCCGGGCAAGGCCAAGGAGCGCGTGTACACACGGCGACGTTTTCACAGTCGCTTAACAGCGTCCCGCAACGTACAGGTGATCTGCGGCATGCGGCGTCGATGGCGCCGCGGACGCCGCCGCCGCTGGAGCGGTCCGGCTCGATTCCACTCTTGGCCAAGTCGTCGACAGGCATATCTCTCAACGAGTCGATGCCGTCGGGAGCCACCCTTGTCCCGCCGTCGCCCAAGACGCTCAAGCTGACGCCACGGCATTTCGGCCGGCGCCGAGCCGACTCGTCGTCGCTGCCGCCGGCGCAATCGACACCAGTGCTCTCACGGGCGGCCACGCCCGAGTCGTCGCTCGCCGGCAGCCAAGGGCGGAGCTCGCCGGCGCCGCCGCTCGCCGGCTCAGACAACAGCTGCAAGTTTCTGCGGTTCCTTGCCTTTCGGCTGCGAGGCGATGCCGCGGTGGCTGGAACCAAGGCGGTTGTCCACGGGGTGGCGGCGTCTGCAACGCAGCTCTCGACCGTGCTCTCTGCTCAGGAGCTCTCGCCGCCGCTCGAGTGCGAGGTGGCGCGCGGTGCGACTCACATGGAGGTGGTACTGTACAACAAGGGCAAGGCCAAGGCCAAGTCGCGAAAGCGCGGCTCGGTGCTCCTCAACCAAGTCGGCTCGCTCTGGCTCCCGCTCGACGAGCTAGCCAATCCGCGGACGTCTGGAGCATGGCACGACCTGCTCCCGCCGTCGTCCCAGGACGGCCTGGTCACCGGTGCCATCCAGCTTGCTCTCTCGCTCCGGCGGCAGCGCAGGTCGGAGACCGACTGGATCCTACATGTGCGTGTGCTGCGGGCCCGCGGTCTTGCACCGCGGTCGTCGTCGGGCTCAGCCGATCCGTACGTCAAGCTCGCGCTTGGCCGGACCTCGTTCAAAACGGCGGTGGTAGCCAAGTCGCTGGATCCAAACTTTGACGAGGACTTTGAGTTTCCGGTCCAGTCGCCAGAGACTTCCGCGCAGCGACTGGTGGTGCGAATCAAGTCGCGTGATCGGTTCTCCAAAACGAACAAGATGCTTGGCGTGGTCTCGTTTCCAATCCATGCGCTGGCACAGTACCTTGCGCGCCACGCGGCCGAGAACCCGTTGCAGGCCGGTCGGCGCGCCGAGTGGACCGAGTGGCACGATCTGTCGGCTCTGCAGGAGAGCGCTAACGGCGTGAGCGGGTCGGGCCCGAATGGCGATGCCGTGGTCGACACCACTGTTGCCGCCGGCAGCGTCGGAAAACTGTTTGTCGAGTCCCGGCTGGAGGCGGTTTACGTGGCTGACTCGCCGGCGGCGTATGACTTTCTGCTGCGGACACTTGTCGACGCAAACTTGACACCGCTCATCGCCATGTTCTACGCGCTCAAGCCGGGCTCGCTTTGGCGCGACCTTGTGGCCGAGCTGGTGCTTGCGCTCTGTGACGTGCTCGAGATGCGCTCGTGGATGCAGACTACCCAGGCACGGGAGCAGGCGACCGAGTTTGGGCGTGCGCTGGCAGCCGCATCGGACGCTGCCATGGCGGCCGCGTCAGAGAACTTTGGCATCCGGGTCTTGCCACCGCTCTCAGTGACCCTGGCGCGGATTGCGACGCTGTTGCACACGCACTGGGCAGCATTGACGACCGCGTCGTTTGCAGACCTGCCCGAACTTCGGGCGGCAGTCGATCGTGCCCTCGCGCTCGCTGGCGCGCTGCCTGAAGGCGGAGGGCCTGCTGCCTTCGGTGAAGCAACGGCGGCGGCGCCGGAGCTTGCGGTCCGGAGCTGCGCGCTGTTTGCGGCCGGATCTGCCGCGTGGGCCGAGGCTTTTCCGGACTTTGGCACGCCTGGCCTCATTGTGCGGTCGGAGCTTGTCTTTAACGCCGCCAACGTGGCACTTCTCGCTGAAGCGCCACACCCAGACGAGATTGGGGGCTCGATGGTGCGGCCCGGCCTCCGTGGCCTTGCCTTTGTGCCGGAAGAGATCCACTCGCCGCTGCGGCGGGTGGTTTCGCACGTCTCGACGCTCTCGCTTAGCGAGATGGACATCTCCGGCGACTCGAACGCATTCAAGACCGATGATGACGCCGCCGAGGGTGCTCAGGCCGCAGTGGCCGGGCCGCTTGTCGCTCCTGATGATCTGAAGGCCGAGGCGGAAAGCTCGCATTGTGTGATCAGCGACGAGCCGAGCGTGGTCGAGGGCGGCTTCACTGACCTACAGTGTGCCACCGACGACTCGCTGCTCGACTCGGACTCGGACGCGACTATCGGGGCGACGGCGCTCGAGGCAGCGCTGGCTATGGCGCAGGCCGCAGTCGAGAGCGAGGCAGGCGTGAGCGAGCCGGATGAGAGCGAGCCACACGCATGTGTGTTTGACGATGAAGGCACTGACAACGACGGCGACGACGACCAGCCCACTACCTTGGCCCTACCGGTTGTTATTATGCATCCGGCCGACATGGATGACGACGACGAGTCGAGCTTTGTGTCGTCCGAGCTGGGCTCGAGCCGAGGCGGGAAGGGCTGACTCCCACACTCAGTCTTGTGGACACCGCCGACGAGTCTCATGTCGAGATGCGGTCGCTGATGGCGCCAGTGGACGACGTGATGTGGGGCAAAGTCTTCTCGTCGGGTTCCAATGCGTCTGTGGAGAGTGGAGACGAGGAGCTGACGCGGATGCTGACGATGGTGGCGTCAAGCGAGGACTTGCCTCACGGGACGACGACGTCGTCATCGGTACTCTCTGACGAGATAGAGAGCACAAAGTACAACGCATCAGACTCGTCGATGTCGTCCGAGGGGCCTGCTGTGGTCCCACACGCGCTGCACGAGCCTCTGACACGGTCGGTGGAGGACGAGCTTGCGCGTGCAGCACTGAGCGAACGCGATCTTGCGGTGATGAATGTGCTTGCTGCGGCGTCGGACGCAGTGGTGGCACTCGGTGGGGCGCGCGCGGTACCTCAGGCAGGGATGACGGCGCTTCGCAAGCGGCTGGGTGCCGCAGTGCTCGAGCTCGACGCGCTGCTGGAGGCCGACGAGGCGCTAGCGGTGCTGGCCGCGGTGCAGCGTGTGGCAAGCGTGCTCGCGGCGCCCCACGTGAGTGACTGGATTCCCGTCCAAGACTCGTGCGGTGCGCTGGTCCGGGCCTGCATCGAGGTCGCCGAGGCCGCGATTGTGGTGGCCGACATGGGCGCGACGTTGCGGCGGATTGTGGCGCGGCTCAAAGCGGCGGCGTTCAAGGCCGCCGCCGAGCGGGCGGCAGCCATAGCCGCCGACGAACTCGCGGCGCTCGACGAGATGGTCGCCGCTGAGCTGCGCATGCTCGAGGCTGACGCGCTTGGCATGATAGATGATGGATGAGCAGTTGAAATAGAAACAAGCCAAGGCCATGCAGGCTGGCTGGGATTGATCCAGCAAGCGGCCGCGGCACGAGGTCGACCGCTCGCCAGCCCACACCCCACTCCCCGAGTCCGACCATGCCGGTCTACTCGTTCAAGTCCATCACGGTGGTCCCGTCGGCGACGGACTTTATCGACATCTGCCTGTCCAAGACGCAGCGGCAGACGCCGACTGTGGTCCGCACCACCTTCCACATCTCCCGTATCCGCCAGCACTACACCCGGTCCGTCCGCTTTGCCCAGCAGTGCTTTGCCGACCGCCTGCGGGGCATCCTCGACGAGTTCCCGGTCATCGACGTACGTCCACCCGCATGCCTGCCCTCACCCTACCGACATTGTCCTTCCCTCCCTCCACCGCCACCACCACCACGCCCATGTCCTCCCCGCCCATCACATGCCCTTCCCGTCCCTCCCCCCCCTCTTCCCTCCTCCCTCCTCCCCTCCTGCCCCGCCCGCACCGTCAGCCTCTTTCAACTTTCGGATGGAAACGGATGGGCCCGGCAAGTGACCATCATATCATCTCCCTTGCCCAGCCACCCCCCCCCCAACCACACACACACACACCCTTTGCCTCATGTCCTCCGCTCGCCACTCACTCGCCCTCACTCACACACACCCTCTGCCCTCGGCAATCACTGTAGGAACTCCACCCGTTCATGGCTTCGCTGATGAACGTGCTCTACGATCGCGACCACTACAAGCTCGCACTGGGCCAGATCGCCACGGCGCTGCGGCTGGTGGAGCGTGTGGGCAAGGATTACATTCGGCTGCTCAAGTTTGGTGACTCGCTGTATCGGTGCAAGACGCTGAAGCGGGCGGCTCTGGGACGGATGTGCACCATTCTGAAGAAGCAGAAGTCTGCACTGGCGTATCTGGAGCAGGTGCGGCAGCATCTCTCTCGTCTGCCGTCGATCGACCCGACGGATCCAACGCTGCTTGTGTGCGGGTTCCCCAACTGCGGCAAGTCGACGACGGTGAACAAGCTGTCGCGTGCCGACGTTGACGTGCAGCCGTGGGCTTTCACGACGCAGTCGCTGTTTGTGGGCCACTTTGACTACAAGTACACGCGGTGGCAGGTTGTCGACTCGCCCGGCGTGCTCGACCACCCTCTGCAGGACATGAACACCATCGAGATGCAGTCGATCACGGCGCTGGCGCACCTGAAGGCCTCGATCCTGTTCTTCCTCGACATTTCGGAGCAGTGCGGCTACTCGATCGAGCAGCAGGTCGGCCTCTTCCGCAACATCACGCCGCTCTTTGCCAACAAGCCGCTGACTGTGGTGCTCAACAAGATCGACGTGGTCCGGCCGAACGACCTCGACGACGACGATAAGGCGCTCATCCAGTCGCTGGTGGAAACCGACGGCGTGGAGGTCATGGCCATGTCGGGCCTCACCGAGGAGGGTCTCGCCGAGGTCAAGGCGTCGGCGTGCGACCGGCTGCTTGCGCAGCGGCAGCGTGAGAAGCTGGCGACGACGACCAACGCAGACCGGCTCAAGGTCCGCCTGCACAAGTCGATGCCTGTGGCGCGTGACGACATCGAGCGCCCGCCCATGATCCCGAGCCGCCGCGGCGGTGCTTCCGAGGGCCGCCTCCTCCTCAAGGACATCGAGGCCCGCAACGGCGGCGCCGGCAAGTTCTCGGTCGACCTACGTGCCGAGCACATTCTCGAGAACGAAGACTGGCGCTACGACGTGGTGCCGGAGATCCTCGACGGCCACAACGTGGCCGACTTTCTGGACCCGGACATCCTCGCCCGTCTCGACGAGCTCGAGCGCGAGGAGGAGGAGCGGCTGGCCCGTGCCGCCGCAGAGTCGGACGACGACGACGACCCGCACCGCGACGAGCGCAAGGCCGCTGTCCGTGCCATCAAGTCCAAGAAGATCCTCATCAACAAGGCCGCCTTTGTCCGCAAGTCGGCCAACTCGCGCCCTCTTCCCCGCACCGCCCGCCGCAAGTCCGTCGGCGATCTCAAGTCGCTCGACGAGCTCGGGTACGACACCTCGCGCATCCGCGCTCGCGTCGCGGCCGGCGAGACCACCTCGCGTGCCCGTGCCTCGCGCAAGCTCCGCAACGATCGCATGGCCATGTCCACAGAAGGCGACGACGACGACGACTTTGGCGCCCGCCGCGCCCGCGGCGCCGGCATCGGCTCGGCCGCCATCCGCAAGGCCAAGGGCGCCCGCGCCCCGCGCAACAAGGCCGGTATCGCAGCCACCGACTCGGACAAGGCCAAGATGCTCCGCAAGTACGCCTTTAAGCAGATCAACGCCGACGGCAAGCGCGGTACGGCTGACCGTGTCATCGTCGCCTCCAAGCCCAAGTGGATGCTCTCAGGCAAGCGTGGCAACGGCAAGACCGACCGTCGCTAGCCTGGCTCCCGCTTTCCTAGATCGACATCAAACCAAAGTTATGACCATGCCCGTGTTAACGTGGCCGACAAAGTCGCACACACGCGCCACGCCTGGCCGCACGCCGGGAGGACCACCAGAGCCAACAGTGTCGCACAGGCCACACCACACTCCCCCCCCCAAACACACACACACACACGCACACACATACACCACACTCCGGCGTCCCACCACCCACCTCCTGTCCACATGTCGGCAGAAGGCCTCTCGTCGTTTGTGGCGGCGCTGCGGCGGCCGACAAAGGGCCGGTACACCGAGGACTCGCTGCGCAACACCATCATGATCATTGCACTGCTCGAGGTGGCAGTGGTCATCACTCTCCTCTCCAACCACGTCAAGTGCACTCCGCCCAACACAGCCAAGCACAACGTGACTCTGGCAGAGCTGCCGGAGATCGACTTTGTTCAGCTAAAGTGCGCGTCGCAGTTCAAGCAGCTCTACTACACCCTCGCCACCACCCTGCTGTTCATTGTCTACGCGCTCTTTGTCTACTCGCGCTCGTCGTCGTACCTCTCTGACCTCACGGCCGCCATTCGCAAGCGCATCAAGCACGATGAGTACCAGATCGCCTTGGCAAACACCCCGCAAACTCCCATGGCTGGCTCGGTCTACGGCTCGGTCCGCGGCCCGCCGTACGGCGGCTCGCTGAGAGCACGCACCTCATCGCAGGCCGGCAGGCCGCTCTCGGGCACCTTTGCGGCGCGCTCGGCAACGATGCCAGCCCGACCAGGCGCGGCCGCCGCCCCGCAGCCCGCTCTCGCCACTGACCGCCCGCTCTCGCCGCAAGCGACTCCGCGCTCGCGCTCGGCATCTGACGCCTCGGACCCGTACGCCACCCTCATTGACGACACGCCGTGGGCGCCGCTCGAGACGCCGCACGAGATTGCGCTTAGCATGGAAAACGACATCCAGGACGTCATCGACCGGTTCCGTCGGTTCAAGGTCGTCGCCATCATTGTCTACGCCGTCATCTTTGTCATGGCCGCCCTCCAGATCACGGTGTTCTCGGTCCAGGGCGAGCTCAACTCGTTCTCGTGCCACTCGGCCCGGTTCTCGGGTCTCAACTCCGAGTTTCCCAACCTGGTCTACACCTGTGCATCGGTGGTGACCAACTGGATCGCGTTTATGGCCGGCCTCGCTGCTCTGGCTCAGCTCGGCATGTTCTTCCTCCTCTTCACCACCTACCGCACCCTCAAGCGCTACGGCCGCAACCGCGAGTGGGAGGCGCTCGTCCCATCGTTTCAGGACGAGATGCCTGCGTCAGGAAGCGCAACTACCGCCGCCGCCGGCTTGAGCCCCTCATCTGGCACGCCGTTCCCGCTCCTCTCGATTGCCGGCCAGGCATCAGGCATGTATCCCGCGACCGGTGTCGCCGAGCCGAGCTCGACCGACGCGGCCTCGATGCTCTACGGCGCAGTCTCCGGCCTGCTCGGTGGGAACAAGCCGAATGCCCCGGCTGGTAACCCCTACAGCGCCCTGCCCGAGGGACTCGGCCTCGGTGGCCTCCCCTCGCACCTCGCGGTTCTGCAGGACGCGGTGGCCTCACTCTCGACCGTGGCGGCCGACATGCGCTCGCTCGGCGATCCGGCCCTGCTTGCCTCGCTCGGTGCGCTCTCGCAGCACCGCCTGGTTCTTGCAGGCCTGGCGGCGACCTTCCGTGAGAGCTTTGTCACCGGCCTCGAGCACATGGCGGAGACCATGCGAGCCCGCGCGTCTGCCACATCGTCCGAGTTCTCCGACGACGAGGCCGTCTTTCTCCGTGTCCTCGACGCCAAGCTCGCCGCCTTCGCTGCCGGCAACGACGCCGACGTCGACGCCGCCATCCATCGAGGTGGAAGCCACATCACAGGCGTGGCGGCCGGCGACGCCGCGGCCAGGCCATCGTAGTCTGCTTCCGCGCCGCGTAGCCTGCCCGCCAAAAACGCGCACACGTGCCACGAAAAAGCCAGCGCATGACACTCTGTGCAGGAGAGCAGCCACGGCACGCCGCCACCGCCACACACACCAGTCTCTACCACACACACACGCACACACACAAGCACACGCACCCAACACACGCACACGCCCGCTTGCTCACTCTGGTCATGTCCGGTGTGCCTGTGGCTGCAGCGGTAACCACCCTGCTGGTGGTGCTGGGCCTCGCGGTTGCGCTGGCCTCCAACCACTGGTACTCTGCCTCTGGAGAGGACGTGGGACTGCTGGCCATGTGTACCCACACGGCCAACAGCCCCGTGGATCCGGACGGGCTTCTTGACTACAACATGGACGTGTGCGTCTCGCTGGCAGAGACGCTCGGCTTTTACCGCTACGCGCACAAGATCAGCGACGAAGCTGCCAAGGCAACGACGGCCAAGATTGTGGACGGCATGGAGCAGCTGTGGTACTGCTCGCTGGCGGCGCTCATTGCGCTGGTCTTTGCCGTGGTCGGCTACGCCGGCCAGCTTGCTGCTGCTATGTTCTGTGCCTCGCAGCAGGCGCTCGATCAGCCGACAGCCTCCGGCTTTGCCGCCCAGCGCGGCGCGCTTGTTGGCGGGCTGGCAGCGGCGCTCAACGTGGCGGCGGTCACTGTGTGGTTTGTCGGCGGCCGGGTGACCAACAACGAGGTGGTTGCCTCCAAGGTTGCCGACCTTGCGTGGGCCGCCTGGCTCGCCGCCGCGCTTCCGTTCCTCTCGATCGCCGCCTCGATCGCCCTCTACCGCTCCGGCGCCGAGGCGAGCATGTACTCGGGCGCGTCGCTCCTTCCGCTCTCGTCGGGCCCGGGCACCGGCGGGCGGTACCGCACCTTTGGCCACTTTCCGGACAAGTGAATACGCGTTTACACAGCATGAAAGGTGATGGCGAGCGCAAACGACGGGTCAAAGTGCTTCTTCTTCTTGTCCTTGTGGACACCGTCGATGGCGTCGTGGGGTAGGACATACTCGCCGGCCGGCGCGTCGGCAAGCAGCTGCGCCGGGTTGAGCCAAAAGTAGCACATGAGATCGTCGCCGCCGCCCACGTCGGCGTCGTACAGAGTGACCCGAAAGTCGGCGCCGACTGTGACGCCGCCGGGCAAGTCGATGGTGACCGAGTCCTCGTTCTTGACATGCGGAGCGGTGTCGGTCCGGACGAGCTCGCCGTCGTGAAAGGTGTCCACGACGACGTAGGGATCGCAGCCGCCGCGGACGTCAAACTTGGGCACCGTGTGCATGGTGACGGCGTCGAGGACGATGGTGGCGCGTGGGATGGCGGCGTCGAGGGCAGCGGCCCGTTGGGCGGACGGAAGGTCGAGGGCGGCGGCAGCGGCGTCGCGGAGCCCGGCATCGAGGAGGCTGGCGTAATACTGGACGTACCGCTTCTGCGACGGGACCGAAACACCCTTGCCGTCCGAGGTGCGGACCGAGGCAAAGTGCTCGAGCGCTGCATCGGCCGATGCGACCTCGCCAAGATGCAGGAGGAGAGAGGCGACAACGAGGCCAGTCCGGCCCTTGCCGGCCTTGCAGTGGATGGCGACAACGTTGGCGTCGTCGGCGGCAAGAAAGGCGGCAACGTCGGTGGCGAGGTCGGCGAGGATCGGCAGCGGGAGGGCGTTGTGGTCCTCAAACTCGTAGTCATCGGTCTGCTGGGCAGGCGCAAAGGCATCTGGTGCGTACTGGTGCTTCGACTCGGCGCACAGGTTGTACACCTTGTACGCCGCGCCATGCTTGGCCTCCAGCAATCTCTTGACCTCCTTCATCGGGTTGCGGTAGACGGCCTCTACGCCAGAAGCCGGGAAGCCCATGGCAATGACCCGTGGGGTCACATACGTCAGGTCGAGGTCGAACCCATCTTCCTGGTACCGGACCTTCTTCTGCGACACAAGCCTGCGGAGGGATGCTGCCATGGCGGGTGTGAGGGCGTTGGGTGTGGGTGGGTGGGTGGGTGGCAGGTGCGATCGATCGGAACGGAATGCCTGCCCGCAAGTTTTACGACCTTTTTTGGACGGTGGAAGGGGGGGGGGGGGAGAGAGAGAGCGAGAGAGAGAGAGAGAGAAAGAGAGAGAGAGACCACCGCTCGTCTCGCGCGTATGGCTGACGCAGAGTGTGTCGCAGCGAGCTGCTGCAAGGCCTTTTCGTGCAGGCCGGACGAGAGCTTACTGGACATTGTGCGGCGGGCGCAGCGAACGCCGCTGTGGACCCATCTGGAGGCGGTGGACGAGGTGCTGGCCGACGCGCCGCTGGTGGGCGGCTCGGTGTTGGAGGTGTACGGCGAGGCCGGGAGCGGCAAGACACAGCTGGTGTACAACATGCTGTGTGCAGTGGTCATGCCCGAGGCCTGGGACGGGGTGCCGATGCATGGCCGCGGTGAGCGGGCGGCGGTCGTCGACACGTCGCTCAAGTTCAAGACCCGAGTGCTGGCGCGGATGCTGGCGGCCCGCTTCGAGCTGGCGCTTGCAGACGCCGGGCGCGAGCCGCTTCCTGACGAGGCGACGGCGTTTGCGGCGGCTTGCCTCGGGCATCTGGTCATCTACCGGCCGCGTAGCGCGGGCGAGCTGGAGCTGACGCTGGCGGCGCTGCTAACGGGTGTGACCGACGAGCCGCCAGCAGCGCAGGGCGCGCTTCCGCTGGCGCTTGTGGCACTCGACGATGTTGCGCCGTTCTTTTGGCAAGGGCGGGCGGGCGTCGATGGGGCGGCCCGGGTCAACGAGAGTCTGCATCGGTGGGTAGCCGCGCTCCTAGCAGCGTCGCGGGTGCTGGTGGTGGTGGCGGTCAAGCCGGCGTTGTTTGCGCCTGCAGACGAGGCGGCAACCCAGCACTCGGAGTACATGCCGCGCGGCTGGCAGGCGCTGGTCACCCACCGGTTAGTCCTCGCGCCCGTGGCCGGATCAGCGAGCCTCAAGTGGGCTCACTTTCACTGCCCGCCAGCCGATCCGATGCAGTTTGTCGTCACGCAGGCGACGCTGGTGTTTGAGGCCAAGGCCGCAGCCTCTACTCCCGCCCGGGCGGGCGTGGGCGGCACTCGACTCGGCTGAGCACGCACCCGACACCATGCCGCGGTCCAGAAACTCCCGACACTCGCACACACACACACCGTCACAGTTGCAGACGCGGGCGGAGAGGCGGAGGAGCAGCGGGCAGCGGCAGCGGCGGCGGCGGCGGGCGTCGCACGGCCAGCGGGCGTCGCACGGCCAGCGGGCGTCGCACGGCCAGCGGGCGTCGCACGGCCAGCGGGCGTCGTATGGCCAGCGGGCGCACTCGCGCCAGACCCGAGCTGTGGCCCACGACCCCGTGCGGCGGCTGCGACGGGCAACCGGGCGCGACGACGTTTCGCTGGTGGTGGTGTTTGGCGACGGCTCTGGCTCCGGCTCCGGCTCTGGCTCCGGCTCGTGCTCCAACGTGTACTCGTACTCGGACGAGTCGGCCTCGCCGTACTCGCCCGAGCCTGCTCTGCCTGGGAGCTTCCGCGAGCTGGCAGCGGCGGCGGCGGCGGCGGCGGTGGCCGCAGTGGCCGAGCTGCCGTGGCCAGGTATGGAGCTCAGTGCCGGAGAGCGACGGCGGGCAAGCAGAGACGCCAGTGTGGTGGCGTCGGCGGCGTCGGTGTCGGCGTCGGCAGCGTCGCCGACGGCGGCGTCGCCGACGGCGGCGCTCTCACTCGAGCCGAGCCTCTCGCTCGATCTGCTGCAAGTCGAGTCAAACAGTGAGCAGAGTCCGGCGGCGGCCGAGGCGGACGACAGCAGGCGGCGGATGTCGCGGTCGGCGTCGCTCAAGATGGAGCACCGCGACGTGTCACGGCTCTTGCACCAGGTCTCGACACTGACGATGAAGATCTCGGTGATGGAGGAGCGGGCCAAGCGACGCGAGCTCGAGCATGCGGCGATCAGCGCGCAAATATGGCAGGAGACTGAGTCGCGGCGAGCAGCGCTCGAGCACGAGTACAAGCTCGCGCTGCAGCGCGAGCGTGACCAGGCGCGGCGACACTCGGTCATCGAGACCGCGCAGCGAAAGCGCGACATCCAGTCGCTGCTGCACAAGGTCAACATGGTGACGCTGGAAAAGCAGCATGTCGAGTCGCTGCTGAGCCAGGAGCGTGAGCAGACGGCCCGGCTGCTGCACCGCGTCAACACGCTTGCGGTCCACAACGAGCTGCTCCAGGAGCAGGCGGCGCATCCGGTTGTCCCGGCCCGCGACGAGTCCGAGTCACTCCGTGCCACTGTCGCCGCACTGCGCGAGGAGCTCGAGGCGTCGCGCGAGCGCGGCGCCGCCGCCGAGGCCAAGGTTGCTGAGCTCGAGAGCAAGCTCCGGGTGAGAGAGTCCGGGACGCCGGCGGCCGTCGACCCGCACGACGCGCCCGAGACCGTCGACCTCACCGCCATCCGGCGCGAGGTGGAAGAGCAACTGGGGCGGAAGGACGAGGAGATCGAGCGCATGCGCGCGGCACACGCCAGTGAAATGCAGCACCTCCGCGACGAGCACGCGCAGGTCATCGCCGCTATGCATGCCGAGTCTGAGCTACGGATGCACGAGGTCGAGGCACTCATCGACGACATCCGCGCCGCCGACTGCTCGTTTGACGGCGGTGAGTCGCGCCGCCGGTCGGCGTCTGAGACCCCGTCGTCGGCCTTTCGCACGTCGGCTCACCGCGAGTCGCCGGCGGCGCGCACCTCGTTTGGCGGCGCCGCCGCGACCGGGTTTGGCGGCCGCGATGGCAGCCCTGTGCTGTACGACGACGAGGCCGACTATGAGCTCGACAACGATTTGCTGATGTACAACCCGTCGGATGACGAGAGGGGGAAGGAGTGAAAAGACGAGGCTGTAACAGCTGTGTGGACAAGGTAAAGAGCTGGCAAAAAAGACTGTTATGCACGCAGGAGGGCAGACGGCTTAGAGCTCGCCGCAGTCGGCGATGATGACGTTCTTCGACGTGGCGCCAGTCGACGAGCCAAGAGCCTCGATGGCCTTAACGACGTCCATGCCCTCGACGACAGAGCCGAAGACGACGTGCTTGCCGTCGAGCCACTCGGTCTTGACGGTGCAGATGAAGAACTGCGAGCCGTTGGTGTTCGGGCCAGCGTTGGCCATCGAGAGGACACCCGGGCCGGTGTGCTTGAGGGTGAAGTTCTCGTCCTTGAACTTGGAGCCGTAGATGGACTCACCGCCAGTGCCGTTGCCGCGGGTAAAGTCACCACCCTGGAGCATGAAGTTGTTGATCACGCGGTGGAACTTGGAGCCCTTGAAGTGGAGCGGCTTGCCCGACTTGCCGGTGCCCTTCTCGCCGGTGCAGAGGCAGCGGAAGTTCTCAGCGGTCTTGGGGACCACGTCCGAGCGGAGCTAGACAAACGGAGCGGAGCAAGGCGATGGTGTGAGTATGGTTTGCGTGGCGGGCGGAGTGGGTGTGGGTGTGGGTGTGGGGGGGGGGCGCCGCCGTGGGTCCGCGCCCAAAAAAATGGTCCACTGCTTGCTTAGCCCGCCGCACGCTGGCGCGCAGAGTGGGAGGGTTATTGGAGCAAAGTGAAGAGCTCGGGAGGGGGGGGGGGGGGAGGGGAGGCGAGAGGATGCTTCCGCAGGGCAAGTCCGACGTGCACAGACGGCCATATCAAGGGTGGGGAAGGAAGGGTAGTGGAAGCAGGGATGGGG